TCCTGTCGGTACTTCGTAAATTTTTTGGCGCGAGTGGTGGCGACTCGGTGAACGGCAACTCGGTGAACCCTAATTTTCTGATCAATGATAACTGAACGATCCTAAACCCTGAAAGGTAGGCAAAATCTTCAATTTTATTTCTCCATAATGTTAATGCGATAGAAACCACAGAATTGAAAAATAATGGTATCGAGTAACATTTGTTTATGACAGAACGTGGCAAAGGAAGCTGCCACTAGCTGGCAATACCACCGTCCACGGACATTTACAACACCCGTAGGATTGCAGCTATGCTTTGGCACCTTTTCGTTACAAGAAGATGTGCGTGTATTAGTTCAAGATCACAGGGCCGTGATAGCTCAGTGTCCAGGCGCTCGCCTTTAATTCAATATATACTCGAGCAACCTGAGTTCGATCCCCGGCACCAATGAAGTTTTTAACTTTAAATGCTGAATTGTCACGTGCTCCGCGGTGAAGGAAAACATCGTGAGGAAACCTGCATATTTTCGAAATAATAACAAAAAAAATGTATTTCGAAGATATGTGAAGTCCGCCAATCCGTAGTGGGGCCGCGTGGTGGACTATGCCCTGATACCCTCTGTCTAGAGGAGGCCTTTGCCCAGCGGTGGGACATGATAGGCTGTTACTTTACTTTACTTTCCTCAGGGCCGCCAAACGTCACGTATTTTCTGACGAACGAAATGTATCTTGTATCTTGTATTAACTGATGTTTTTGCTTTCAATCCCGAGACTATTAAAGCTTCATCTGACACAGAACCGGTGGGCTAGTCAGAACCCACGGGCTTGGGCCCTCCGCTGTGGGTAGGGCCGCGCATGTGCTCATGCGTGCGTTTAAATATGGTATGTCATCTAAGGGCCATCAAGGTTTCGGGTTCGGGACCCCGATGGTCGTCGACTGTGTTTTAGCTAATCGGTGGCTGGGGGCGGTGAGAACCGCCCTGGAACGTTGGTGTACCTTGTGTACGCGTTGTGTTGATCTCGCCGTGCTCGGAGGCGAGGGCGAACTATTGTGTTTGTTGTTACAAACACAATAGTGGGTGTAGTGTTATCCGGCGGGACCCCCGATGGTGGGTCCGACGTATCTAAGTCCGAACGAAATGTTGTGTTGATCACAATTCATAAACACAGGGCGCGTAAACGTGTACAGCCTTCAGCCTTGTACCTAGGTAAAGAAAAAACATCTATACAGTTGCATCGGGTGTTTGTGAATACTTTTGGTTATTTCATTGTACCATTTGGTTATTTTGTTTTTTTTTTTTTTAAATTAAGTGAAATACTTTGTCAAAACTCACCACTGACAATAAGAGCTGTATCATCTTAAAATGAAGCAATTTCCCATTATCAAGTTGAAGTTTGCGGAGAACGGTTAATGGAGAGAAGAAATGAGGTTGGGTCACCAAGCTTAGCACTTACAAGATAACCTATTTTTTAAGAATCCAGTTATACCCATAAGTGAATGTCAGAATAGTTGTAATTGCAACACCCTTAAACCAATCCAGCATCATGTGTAAAATAATGGAGATAAAGTTTCAAAAGCACTCGCTAATTCAATAATTACTAACCTATTCGAATATTCTTTTTTTTATCTACAGCGTACGAATAACGTTCACAGTTATGAACTTACATAAAGAACTAAGTATCTGGCAGCTTTCAAAGAATGAAAAACAAATTGATTAAGTGAAAGTATGATTTTTTTCTCAGTAATCAGTCAACGTATCATACATGTCGTATAATATTTTAATAATACCCATTTATACGGGTCTATGAGGAACACAATTTAAAATGGCACCCAGTACAACTACGAATTAAAACGTAATAGAAAATTTACGTTATAGCAAACACAATCCTAGTAGAACAAATATAACTTTCTAAGAAATATAAGATTTGCATTTTGAATTTTTTGCCAGAAAATATTAATAAAACAAATAATATGCAATATTTGTGTAAGTAACGTAACAGCCTATAAACGCCAATAGTTTCATTTATAATGTGTATAATCGCGTAAATAAAAGAAACAACACATAATCAACTGCTCCTACCACTGCCTTAAACAGGGAACCCCTTATGAAAGTGACTGCCTATTATATTTAGCTGGAAATCCACTCTTGATTGATATAGATACTTGAAAATTGATTGATTAAAACGTAAGATTAATTAGTCTTACACGTAAACGTTAGAAACAAGGATCTGCTATACTTGTTATTGTTGCAAAGTGCTACGCTTCAACTTTGTTTAGCGATGATCATACCTGGTTAAAAAAATTTCAAACCGCCTTAAGAAGGAAAGTCTTTAGAGTCATTGTATGAGAACGCCGAAAATCAGACATTCACTTAGCCGGCAATCGGTTTTGAATTGAATTCGGTTCGGCCACTTGAAAAGACAACGCCTTAGTTATGCTTACATGCAATATGCAATGAGAATAAATTTGACGAAACAAGATTAATTTGTTCGGAAACTGCAAGGGCGTTCATTATTTTTATTTGGTAGGCTTTGTAGCAACAAACCATAATTAATTGTTTTCTTTTTAATGTCTTAAACAATCCTTTGAGATAGAGAGTTGGTAACTAGTATCATAAGGTCGTCACTCACATGTCACGCAATTGATGAATTTACATATTTATTAAATTAACCCTACATTAATTTGTTGTCATGTCGTTTACTTTAGATACAAGTATAGCCGAAAAGGTAAATAGGGACACTATTAAAGATAAACCATCCACTCCGGCTGAATTTAAATTGTTCAAACCCCCTGAAGAAAAGATATGCGCTGAAGGCATTTGGCCGTGTATGAGAAGTTGAAAACCGAGTTATCTGGTTCGAGAGAAAATTAATGACGTACTTTTATTTCCTCTTAAGCCACCATTAAGAACTATTTTTATTTGCAAATGAAACAGTTTTACCACCATCAAGTTCAAGTTTGCAGAGAACGTTAATGTAGAAGATAACGTTAAGGATTTATATCCTTGGTACCTTTGTACCCTTTGGTTGGGCCATGTATACTTATCTAGGACACATCGTAACTGCTTAGCTGCAGAGGAGCTATTTCTTAAAAACCGAGTTCTATTCATAACTTTGGCCAACCAAATTGGTTTAGCGATGGTGTGGAATGTTTTCTCTGAGTAACAGTTGACCTGTTCGTGGTACTTTTCTTGATGTGTTCGAGGATCTTTTAGAATGATAGCAATATTTATATTATTCTTTAAGAAACATATTTTCCACTTCCAGAATAGGATTAAGATGAGTAAAAGCTTTATTCACAAAACCACAGATCTAAGTAGTTAATATGTATCATTCAATGTCCGGGCGCTCGCCTTTTATTCAATACTCGAGCAGCCTGAGTTCGATCCTCGTTACCGGCACCAATGTAATTATTAATTTCATGTGCTGAATTATGACCTGTTCAACGGTGAAAGAAAACATCGTGAGGAAACCTGCATATTTTCGAAATAATAATAAAAAAAATATTTGGAAGATATGTGAAGTCCGCCAATTCCTGTCCTATATCCTGATACCAGGAGGAGGGCTTAACCAGCAGTGAGACATATACTTATAGGCTGATACTTTACTTTTACTTTATTCAGAGAAAAACTTTTTAAGTGTACGATTTAAATATGAAAGGCTGGAAAAAAATAAATAAATGTACGCTTAAAAACATTAAAAAATAAACGGTCAGAAACGATTTATGGTTATTAAAATTTTAAAAGGTGCAAAAAACTTTAGGTGGAAAGCTAACCTTAACCTGTTAAATTTTGCGGTTACCCGTTCATATTAACATCCTGGAATACAATTTTTCTATTCATCGACAGATGTCGCTCTACAGTAATACCTGGAATAAAATGACTCCTAGTAATTAATTAAATCAATTGATTGCTAATTTTTTAAATACGTTAACTAATTATTTCATTACGTAAAATTTTATAACGAAATTTTCATTAAGACCAAATACTGCTGTGGTAAAGTGAATATGGTATCCCGGATTTGTCAAAAGTTTCACGTGATTACATAACATCCGACAATCTGACATGGCGCTTGCATCGTCAGCTTAGTTCCTTTACCACTGTGCGTCAAGCGCGGTGCGGTGTGTGATTAATTTCCATCGGATTTAAGACATGTAAGTGGCTTTATCCTACATTATCTTTACATAAATTAATCTCAATTACAATATCGTATGTTATATGTTCGTTTTAAAGAAGATTCGTGTAGATTTATCTCCTTCTTTACTCTTAATTCTCGCCTTACGTAACTTAATAGCGTTGTTTGCACGTGACCTTGCTCCATTTAGATTTTTTCCAATTTTATTTAATAAGTTTTAACCTAAAAGTACAATAATTTCTAAGATATTTTAGACAATAGTAATTTCTTTAATCTTATCGATTATCTAGATGGCCGCAGTGACGTCTGCCTGATTCAAATCGGTATTGATTGGTTCTGGCTAGTGTGCTAATCTGCCGAATTTGGATATAAATTGAAATAACTAAATTATTTACGTTAATTAGGCTTTAGAAACACAAAAGTTTACCGAAATGTAATGATTATTTAAAATATTTTAATTACTATTACCTAACATCATTCAAATGCATGACACTGGCAATGACTTGTATAACCTCATCGAGGACGCCAAATTTTATTTTTAAGAATGAAATGACCTTTTTAAAGAAGATATATTTTCTTTTGTTTTCAAGGAGGGTAATAACATAATTAATTGCAGTCTATGGGATACATTTTGTATTACTTATTAACATTTTACTTGTAAATTAATCCTGTAATTTAGTGAATTACCAGTACCTACAAATTATTCTATCAACTAATTTAGATATAAAGAACTAGTTATGTTTGTTTGTTAAATTATGTTTTTATAATATTATATTAGTAGGTAATTATTTTGATGATTGGAAAATACATGAATTAATGTTTACTCTAGTAATTAATTTGATGAAACTGAACAATGGCACCAAGAATTTTATTTTTTTTATAGTAAAATGTTCTCATCCCTGTTGGACGCGGCCCGGAACTCGCCCTTCCGGGGCCCCCTCTCTCCTGCACAATGTGAACCAGCTGCAATTGCCGCCCCACAAGCCGCACAGGTATGCAGATGTCCTTAGTACTTTTTTAGTGGTGTTGTCTTGGCATCACATTACAAAATTACCATGCACATAAACTATTCCAATGAATGACAAGAATTATAAATGCTTTAAATATGTAATTTTGTTATTATGTTACCGAACTAATGCCCAATGATGAAAACTCATGCCAGAGGGGTGCTGCCGTGTGGGGCGGTTGTTCTGTGGCGTCGCCGCGCCACTCTACTATCTGGTAGTGTGTTCGATGTCAGCCCTGTGCGGCAGAGATGCCCAATGATCAAAGGATTATGAGAGCTGAGGGCAGAAACAAGTGCATTTTCATATCATGCTGTTCAAATTTGTACAGTTCTGGCTATTATACCAGTCTCTTTGTTATAAGAGTATTTGAACCACAATATTATCCAACTATGATATGCAAAGCTTACACCATGTACTCACCCATTTGAAAAAAAAAATAAGTGCACCATTTTGCTAGATTGCAACATACTTTTGCCTTGAAAACATATCCCATAGCAGAACATGCAAATGTATGTGGATTTTTCTGCTAGTACCATTTTGCCATATAATGTTAATGATATAATTTTGTCACATGTATATTGGGTAGTAGGCCATAAATGTTGCAAAAACAATTAATGTGAATTTTAATTTTCTAATTCATATTGCATCTTAATGAATTTGTATAATTAGTTTTGACTATTTGTTTTAGTTTTTTATTCAACCTACAAATTTAATGCAAGAATTGTAACCGGCTAATTTAGCAGAGATGTTAGATAAATTACATATGAACAAGTACATATTGCAGAAAACATTAAGTTGTTTCTAACTAGTTGATGAGAAATATATTCTAAGTTTTCTATAACCCAATATGAACACAAATTAGCTGCTTTTAAGTTAAACTTTTAAGGCAAATCACTTATGTTAAGTTATTACAGCAGTCCATAGACACCCCTAAGTTGCTAGTGCATTTCCAACCTGTAAAAGCAAACTCATGAATACTTTTGCTCTAACTGGTCTTGTTTGACGCTGTTGTAATTTAATGTGATAAGTTGTGAAGTGAGCAGGCGGTTTATCTAATGTTAAGTCCATGGACATCTACAACGTAACAGCTTACAAATTGGGAATCTTTAAAGTGGGCCAATTACCTCACTCACCATACGAAACGCGTAAGTACACTACTTTCACTTCACGCCGTTCTTCCATCAGGTTGAGGTGATTCTAAGGAGGAACCTGCTCATTTGTGCAACAGGAAAAGCTCCTTGCTTAGTACTTCCTACCACGTCCCACGTACCTCCCTGGAGCTTCCCATTTCATGCAAATCCATGAATACTTCTATACTATAGTTCAATGAGGCCGTGGTATTTCTATGGAAGATCCCATTAATGCAACAATAGTAGATCGATAAAAGCTATAATGAACGACACAATCTTCTAATTGCCGGCTGAAAAGGATTACAAAAGTCTGGAGCTAAAATTGAAAATGAACGCGAGAAAATCGTTAAAAACATTTTATAACAAAATGAACTAGGTAATTCCCTCAGTAGATTTCGTCTCTTTCCGAGCTATTGCTGGTCCCGATTTTCAACCGGTGTTCCTTTTACCGCAATGCAGAGCGGCATGGCGGCCGCTGCGGTGGTGCAGGGCGACTCCTGCGAGTTCGCTTCGCCGAAGTACTTCGCGCTGTGCGGTCTCGGCGGCATCCTGTCTTGCGGTACGTCGATCTGAGGCACATCCCTAACGATAGTTCAAAAGATGTTATAATTATGTTACGTCAATCTTATCCACATCCCTAATGATAGTTCACGAGGATACATCGCTACTGTAAGTGCAAAAGATCTCTGAGTACTTTACTTTCGGTAAGGCAATTGCAAAAGTATGCGATAAGTAATGTTTTTTTTTGTATATGTAATTAAATTAATATTAATTTATTAACATTGAAGAAATAAGATCTAATTTATATAATACTGTACAGTACTGTCGTGAGGTAGATTTCCTTTATTTGAATTTAGGTAATTATTCTGTCTGCAGCCACTGAATATTCTTAAGTTTTCTTTTCTCCCCAGTATATATATATATATATATATATATATATATA